TTCACTATCTGGAGTCCACTGTTCTTTTTTATGGCGATATACTTATATGCAATTGAACAGCAATCAAAATCATAATTGCCTGTTCACCTTTGCCTCCGGGCAAAGTTTCCTGGGCTCCAACATTGTCTCCGACCTCACGTGGTCGCAAAAACAGCCTAACCGGACTCACTTAACCAGAAACAGCTGGCCTCAGTGGCTACCTGGAAGTCTGCTTAGCTTTACCTATCACTCAGTGATTACATGGCTATTAATGCACCTCCCACCACCAAACCACACAGAGGGCTTAATTCAAAAGCTGTCAGTGATTAATTACCAGTTGCCTCTACTGAGGTGAGGATATCTGAGGGGATTGGCATGACTGTAACTGTATCAGGCCAGAGGGATTACACACTTGGCGAGCCAGAAAGGGAGACTGGAAACCAGCGTGGCCACAAAGAGTTGAAAAGGAGCGATTGGGTGGAGAAAGTTGGGACTGGTTTGAAATGTGTGTATTTTCACTCTTGGTAAAGAAATCAGATCAAGTCAGGAGATGACAAGGATGAAAGGAAAAAAGCTGCATGTGCTTATGATTGTATTTTGCAATCTAAAAGACAGAACATCCAGCTGATGTGGCCCCCTGCTGCCCTTCTGCACTTGACAAGCACTACTGGGTATTTTTTTGGGGGGGAGAACAAAGTCCCACACATTACAAGTAATATGTTCCTGTTTTCTCAAGAGTGCTTCAGCCAGTGTTTTGCTGCCAGGCTTTTTGAAGTGTTAACATCAAGAAATGCTGCAGAGTGGGGAAAGGGGGCTGCGCGGGGAATTAGGCGTATGGGTGAGTAAACAGGAGAAAGCGCAAACCACCAGTGCTTGCTGACGGCACATTTTATTATGGTCCCATTAAACAACAGGCCCTGTTTGGAATGCAGATCCCAGGGAAGGAGAAGGTACACGCACATTTTAAAAAAACAAGGAGAAGGGAAACAGCCCACGAATGCTGAAACAATTATTATAAAGGGACTCGCTTCAGTGTAGAGCACGGTGTGGGTGCGACTGGAGACATTCTCACATCATGATGGTTTCACAGGTTTGATTTACTCCTTAATCGTAAAGGAGGGTGTAAAATACGTTTTCAGACAATGTGAAGCTCAGGATAACTGACTGTTGTTCAAAGTGAGTAATTTGGCTCTGCAGTTTCTTTGCTGGGCTCCCCACCACACACTAAACTCACACTAAAATTCAATCCATATGTTTTAATTCACGCTGTGTACCTTCTTGTCAAAACCTGGCACTCACACACACACTTACTCTGTCTGCTGGCTATTTTGTAAGACATACGTGGGCTATTTGGAGATCTGGTAAGCTTACGTTTTACCACTCTGTACTCCAAATATATATTTTTTCGCTATTCTTCATCCCTGATCAACCTGAACCTTTTTCCCTGTAACATTTTTCCCCTCTCGTTTTTCTGTCTCTAATGTAATTTTCTGTCTCCTTAATGGCGTGAAAAGGCTCGCCCTGCTCCTCACTGGGTAAGTGAAAAAAACCATAGGAGAGCGTGGCAGTCTCCATTTCTGTGTCTTACTGAGCTATTAATCTATCCTGCAGTCCATGCTAGGTTAGCTTTCTGTGGGTTTAGTTAGTTTCTATCCGGATCATTTAACAGCATATGCTAAACCCACCTGTTTGTTCCTTTACACATGGATGCCGACCTCATCTGACGGCTTGATTGAGGTGTCTTAGCTTGCTGGCTTTGTCATATAAGACAAAATTGTGATTTTTCACAGGGAGCAAATGTGTCTGCACGCGATGTAGTGGGAGGTGGATGGATTATTAATATTAAATTTCATGCCATTCCATCCAAGAAGTGTTAACACGCTGGTTGAGGAAGGGGAAAAGTCTAGCAATCAGCAGGAGTCATCCTCTGTGGGCCGTAAATGTCAGAGTGAAACGTCCTTCTGGTTGAGATATTTCAGCCTGCACCAAAGAGATGGACCGACTGACAGGAACTGCCACCCCAGGAGACACATCTCTAGCTCAACTACAGACTGTGCCAGTTTGCAGGGAAAAGTTAGCCCGTGTCAGAATGGTGTTTTTCCCTCAGAAAGTAATAACCGAGTAATAACACAAAGCGATACCCCCCTCGCTGTTAAGATGACAAACAGCATCGGCAAACCCATCGCTTTTTTTCCCGCCAGGAGTGACATCAGCATGAATAAAACACAGTAGAAGTTCACAGCCGACTTTCTCAGATAAAGACGGCGAAAAACTTCCCATGATTCAGGAACAACCTATAAAATATCCCCAAGCTATGGACCATTGCTCTGTCTGTGTAACCACTCCATCTTCTTTGACAGCAATAAAGTGAAGACTGTGAAAAGCACATTACGGTCCTCCCCTCAAAGAGAGAGAGGGAGAAAAAAAAGACCTCATCTGAGCCACAGGCTGTCTCCTACACAGAGGAGAGGCTAGATATTGAGTGAGCCCATTCAGAATTCATAGAGTACAAAGTTATTTGCCTGGAAAGAGCACGCTCCAAAGCACTAACAAAGTATTACTGAAAGTTGCGTGCGTAATACGCTTACACTGCGTGAGCGTTTGGATTTTTAAACCACGCTGCAGATTCTTCAAAGTACCCTGATGATATATGTGTTTTGTATGAAATCATAGTTCAAAAAATAATTGGGGGTTGGGGAGGGGGGGGGAATAAGAGACCACAACTAGCTGCCAGCTTCCAGGATCAAGCTCGGAGCCGTCTTGGTTTTTAGCGTCGTCTCGCTTCATTTGATGTGAAATGTTTGCATTGTTTTATTCTCTGCCCCTTTACAGAACTGTGGAGGGAGAAAATAAATAGCAAACATATGACAGGGATTGAGAACAGAGAGCCGCCTGATTGTGAGTGTCTCATTATGGTTAATACTCGCAGTACTTCTGGCTCATTAATTCAGGCATGCCCACTCTGCAGATGAGACATTTGCAGTTGATAGAGCGCTTGTGAAAACTGAAGATTAAGGATCTTTCGTTTGGGATTATCACTCGCACTAGTCTCGTTTCTTCTTGTGCCCGTGTCTGATTATGGTATATAAACATATTTTTTATTGCGTTGCTGTTCATATTTGGCAGGGTGAAGGAAAAAGAAAAAAACAGGGGAGGTCAGGGGTTGAGGGTCAACAACAAAGCACTTTCTTTGGTTGGGATTCAGCACCTTAATTTCAGACCTGCAGCGCAGATGTTTGCCAATATCCGCGAATTTTCCATGAAACCTTCCAAGCACCACTATGCACTGTGACTTTTTCCAGAAAGGTCACCTACAGTATGTTCACACTTACTGTGTAACATTCCCAGCTGGAGTTGACTGAGGCTGATCCCCTCTTCATCAAACTTTAAAAAGTTGTGAAAACATGTCAGCGTCCCGCAGCATGCCGTCTACCTAGTGGTTCAGCAGTGTGCCAGGAAGGAACGCAAAGGTTCACGTGTGGTTCACTGAGAGCATGGAAATGTTACTAGAGTGCTTTGCAGTAACATGCTATTAGACAGGCCATACAGCGTACTTCATTCTGACATCAAGGAGCAATTCATCCCATCTGTCGGATAACCATTAAGGAGCCGGGATGCTTGCTGGTGACCTTTTGAACGCATTACTCGAGGTGCTCATATTGATATTTGGCACATGTATGAAAAAGCATGTAAAGGTAATTTTAAAAAAGCCTTAAGAAATCCGCAGGATGTTACTTACTTGTAAAGAACATAACTCCACAATGTCAGCACTTTCAGGAGCCGAGAAAACACAGCCCTGTTTTCGGCTTTATGACGAAGCAGTTTTCAGATGATGGATGGACTTTAACTGGGTCGTTTAGCCTAAAATGCTAAAATGCATAACTTTTGGGCAAAGACTGAATCCTTCACTTTATCTGAGAATCAGTTGAAATAGACACATTTTATTTATCACTGACAGTATATAGCCCTTATCTGACACCCTGTTATCTCTGTATATGTCTGGACACGGAGATGTGACATTATTGTAGCTGTTGAAAAAACAGAACTGGTGCCTGAGTCATTAACTGAATGTGGGCTTAACAATCAGACTTTTAGCTTTAATTCAAGGGGATGAACAAAAACGTTGCATTAACTGTTACAAAATTGCAGCAATTTTTACGCACCGTCCCTCGTTTTCAGGGACTCGTGAGCTATTTTAAGGGCAGGTGTGAGAGATCTTTTGTAATTTTCAACCCCTCAAAGTCCCCGATGCACCCAGAGCTTTCCATCTGGATTTCACCTTATCGGCTAATGTTGTATTTTTTATCTGTTTTCTGTCGGTGCTATTTTATAATTTCTATCTTTTCTTCTTCTTTTTTTTTTTTACTGCAGTGAAACTGGGGCTGTCAATCACACATTCAAGAGCAGGACTGGCTGTTTTTATTTTTTATTAATTTCTTTTTTTTCCCCCTGAAGGCTAACCTACACTGATGCACAATAGTGGCTTGGCAAACATTTAGAAGTAAACCAAAAACCCACAAGTTCAAATCCAGAACATTCTCCCCCCACTTACGATGCACTGGCAACCCAACCTCGGCTCAGTCCTAAAATGACCAGAATGCTGAGCTACACTGGAGGAATAAATGTTTCCATCTACTGGTTAGAAATGTGAATTTCAGCCTCTCCCACTTCTCCTCCATGTGAACAAGGGAGCAGGCAACATCACAAGTCGGACAATCTCTCAGCACCTCTATGTATAGACGGCTGTTAAATGCCTTTCTTTCTGTTAGGTGCATTGAGCGCTCAGCTGTCCGCATCCTTCACAGGAGACCTCCCCTGAACTATCAGCACTGTCACATTTCATCAGATTCAATGAAATCAACTACAAACATGCAAACAAACAAAAAACCTGTCCCTGAAAAGCTTCCATTCATTCTCAAACCAGCCTGTGCTCGGAGTCAAACGCGCTTTAAAAGCCAGCACCTCACACTCCCACATGCAACCCCGCGCCCGCACCGCACTGGAAAAGTAGTTTCCTTTACCTGGAGGGCAGTTGCATTCAGGTGATGTTTGTCTGGCTGTCCGAATCTTGACGAAATTCTCATAGGAGCGCTGAAAGGTGAAAGAAAAGCATCATTTTTCATTCATTCGCCCTTTGAGTGAACCACAGTCCATTTACGCGCAAGTGAAGGGCTCAACAACAAAGTGCCGGAGAGCCGAGCGCATAAGCCAATCTTACCTGAGAGAGCAGCTCGTCCACTCTTTCCTCTATCAGTGAATTGAAATCCTCCACGGAGTAGCCGGGGGCACGGGTGAAGGTGTGCTCGCCTTTGGCACTCTCCAAATCCACAACTCGGTTCTTGATGTCAGCTCCACTAATGCTCAGGAAAATGCAGAAAGCGACGGACGCCACGGAGCAAAACGAGGAGAAGACGTTCAGCGCAGTCGTGCGGCAGTAGTGTCGCTTCTGCCGGGGCGACAGTTCTTTCTCCATTTTTTCCATGCACTTAGATGCTCTTCTCGCCACTGCGTTCTCCATTTAACTAACAACTCCACGCGCTGCTGAGAGCAAACCGCATCTGGCGCGGAGTCACCAATTTATGGCACTCTGCTCTGTGTGAGTGAGTGAGTGAGCGAGCGTGCGTGTGTGCGCCTGCAACGCTGCGTTCACGTACGGTGACTTTGTGGTGACAGCGACAGATGGATGAGTGGAGCGCCGCTCAAGCTCCAGCCGAGTGAAGTCAACCTGCGTGACGGCGTGCCGCTGCTGCTCCTGCAAACTTGTTGCACGGAGCTTTGCAAAGTGGTCTGCAGAGGAAACCGCTCTTATGCACTCAACAGTAGAGAGGGAGAGCGTGGAAGCGGGAGGCAGTGCGCACGCAGAGGACACAGCATTAAGACTGAAGCCTTTCCGTGGCGCAGGCATGCTCCCCCCCTCACGAAGGCAACAACACGCCTCCAACGTGTCCCACTGATTAACATAATTTATTGGCTCACTCCTTTTGGGCTATTTCAGCCCAGTGGGCTACAGTTGCCATTAGCTTGTTGATGAGAAGTGATGATCAGTAAGGACAGGGACACATTTAGCCACATTTTTTAAAATTCATTTGAAACTTTTTGCAAAAATAGCCACATGATTACTTGAGTTAAACGGACAGTGTGCAGGATTCAGCGGCCTCACCCTCCATCGTCAAGCTGGTGGCCACTACAAATTCTAAATGTCCACTCTGGTCCAACACTGCAAACTGTGGGTGGAAGAGCACGCACTCCCTATAGAAATATGAAGGGACCATTCTAAAATAAGAGAAAATGACACTTTGGGGTGATTATACAGTAGTAAAAACATAATTATGTATATTCCATTGCAACAGTGCCTCCCAAATCCTACACAATGGACCTTCAAATCAGCAGTGGGCATGGTGTTTTTTTCTTTTTCCAGAGGAAACTGCTATTGTGACTTAGATGAAGTAAGCAAAGTGCCATGCACTGCACAACCGAATCAATATGTGGTCACAGGTTACAGTAACAGTATGCATTCGTTTTTGATTTTGTGACATCCGCCTGCCTAGAGTGAGCAAATTATTGGTTTGGACCATTTGTGGGCTTCAACAGAACAAACATGAATGAGGTCTGCTCAGGACTGAACTATGTTTGGGATAAATGCTGCATTCGGCTGTAAGACAATGTTACATAAATAATCAATGTGAACGGGGGCGACAGAACAATAAAAATATACAGTAGCTCAATGCACTGATCTCTGCATTTAGCTATTGGATGCAAGCAACTGACCCACAAAACTGTATTTGTATCAAATATTCATACGGCTCATAAGAAAATATGAGCAGAATTAAAGGTTTTAAAAATGAAATATCTACATCGCAGATGGTTTCAGACTTCCTCACCACCCCTGTGCACTTGTTTTTTCAGTTTCATTGCTGTGCTAAAAAAAAAAATACATCAAAGTAACAGATGGATTTCACTAACTGCTTTACTGCTTCCTATTTTTCTTTTGATTTCATGGTAACATCATTGTCATAAATCTTTTTTTAAACCACAATAAACAAAACAAAAAAACGAAAAAATGAAACCCCAGCCTATCCACCGACACACCCCTGCCAGACTGTGCTTGGTTAGGTCACAACTACAAAAATCATAGAAGTTAGCCTGTAAGTAGCTCTAACAATGTGACAATGGGCCTCTTTGTTCAGGCATCATTAAGTAACTTGACAAACTTGCAGCAATATTAGGTAAACAATCAAACAAGTCATTCATTTTTAGAGTCAGTGCATAGCCACATGAATTCATTGTTTTGAGACCCCTAATGTCATCTATGTTCTTCCTTCAAAGAGCAAACTCTCCTCACATAAAGAAAAACAAACTTTAAAAAATGAACTCAAGTCTCACTTCTTCCAAAAATTATGAAGGTAAGTAGTAGAAAGGTGCTACGTTTGGCCATAGTGCACTGCATGTTCGACAAAACCCAAACACAGCATATCAGCACAATCACCTCAAACCAACTATCGAGCACGTTGGTGGAGGGGTGATGATTTGGGCTTGTTTTGCAGTCACAGTGACTCCCAAGCAGCGCAGGTCTACAACAGAACGGCTGAAATAGAAACAAATCAAGGTGTTACGATCGTCCAGTCAAAGTCTAGATTTCAACCTGGCTGAAATACTGTGGCAGGAGATTAAGAGAGCTGTGAAAGGACAGGATGAATGCCCGCAGAGGTCAATGAAGTGAAGCTGATAAAGTCAAACAGAAATCTGTTACTTCAAGTTATTGCAGTGAAAGGTGGTTTTACAAGCTATTGAAACATTAAGTGTATTTCGTTTTTCATAGGACTTGATTTGGGTTAATAGCCCTCAGTTGGGGAATAAAAGGCAACAAAGTCCAATAACAGAATGACTATATAGTACCTCGTGACCCCACTGTCTACTCCACATCTGGACTGTTTGAGTCCTTCAATTTTGATAAGGTGTTAATCAACATTATAATCAGCATCAACTCTAATCCACATCCAGTAACAATCTAATGCATCTACTGGGCTATGGTAACACCATCTGGCTTACTTGTGCTGTATTCATCAATGCAAGAGCTCCCCTTATTATGCATCACGTGCAGAAAGACTGACATGCAGAGTGCTGTTAGTTTGAATGAACAGCCGAACTGTCGGTCTTTTTCATTTAATGATGTTTCCTGATTTTGTTCATGAGAACATATACAGCTCAACATTAAATAAAAGGCACGCCACTCACAGTGGAGGATAAGTGCACCAATTTCCTCCCATGAACATCAAATCTATTTCTCCACATGCCTCACCCGTTTCAAGATGCCGAAATTAATTCTGAGTAATAGTGAATAGAGAATTATTTTTCTCATTTGCAGTCAGAAATCCTTAATGGCAGAAGACTTCAAATATCCATAAACCTCCCCATCCTCCTGACTCCTTATTCCGAGGCTCGTCTTTACAGCTCTCTTGCATTTTAATGCAGCTCCACTCCAAGTCAGTCAGAATGAAGGAAACGCGCAGAGTCCACAGGCACAGCTGCAGATGTCCGAGTTATCGGTGCAGATCTGACACGGTTTTCTGTATTTATGTTCCAACACTAATCAAGGATTTTCTGCAGTAGTTTGTTTTCTGAAGTGGCGCTTGACCCCGCACAATCAGCACTCGAATCTCTGGCTTGTAACCTGAAACTAAAACTACTGGAGATCTGTATCTTTTAGATCAAAAAGTTATTGTCAAAATCTGCCTCAAGAGAAAGAAAACACGTCATTTTTGGAGAGTGATTGTATTTATTTATTTATTTTTAAATTGCTCTCACTGTTTTTGTGGAGTCAGTAACCAATTAGAAAACTCTGAAATCATCAGGTGACAACAAAAGTGGAAAACTGGATTTGCTGTTTTGTTGCATGATGTAACGCTTCATCCGAGCACAAAATCCAGGAGTTTTTTCGTCCGTGGTAAATACTCACATGGTCTTACAGTCAAGCTTAGTATGTTCATTCAGGTGAAGCCTCCTCAACTGCTTAAGTCTCCCTACTCTGCTCTTAGCTTTGTAGCACAAAATCGCCACTTTAGAATCAGCAGATGAGGTCCCGTGTCCTCGTGCAATTCCCAATCTCATCCCGAGCGAAAGTCTAATCAGCCAGAGCTGGGAGAAATGACACCTGTGTGTTAGGGATAGAGCCCATTTTTATAGATGTCTGTCAGCAGCTTGTATTTCATCCAATTTACTGACTAATGTGTATTGACTTAAAAGGCACTTTGCACAGGAATTCATTAAGTTAGCCAGCCTGTTAGGCTGATAGTGTCCAATTAAATAAATACAAGGCTTTTCTGATGCTGCAAGTTCATTAAATCGTCTTTTTTTTGTTCTGATGCTACTCCCAGGCTCAGTACTGGAGGTGTTTATAGTACAGATCTTTGCACCTTATATGAAACTGTTGGGTGGTCTTCTCTGGAGTTTTTGAACTATGAGACTCTTATTTGGAAAGAGTCATTTTACATAACTTCTATGCAGAGTGGTTGGTTATATCAAACACCAGCCCAGTGATTGATGATCATGCCAAGTTCCTCAAGTCTGACTGAATGTAAAACACTGCTTTCAGTTTCTATGCTCAATTATCATACACAAGTTAGCTTCTGTCTGAACTTGTTTTACATGAGTCCTTTCTCTAATCTTTATCTTGTATCTTTTATTGTGTTTTTTTTTTTTACTGTGTATCTTTAGACCACGCCAAACATCAAATTAAACATCAGCGTAAATGAAGTTTCCTTTGTTTTGTTTTTTTGTTTTTCAAGGATTAATAAAATGAAATGAATAAAAAACAGTTTATTTAATCTAAAAAGAATATCTGTGGAAGGACTGTGGCCACACAAAGCCACACACAGGTGTAATTCTAGAAGACAAGATGTTCAGTGTTACAGCAAAGCTGAATTTGACCAGTATTTCAGACGTGGCCAGTATTTCCTCAGATATCCAATGTACACTCGCCGACCGCTTCACTGGGTACACATGTTCACCTGCTCCTTCACCAATATCTAATCAGCCAGTCACATGGCAGCAACTCAGTACAAGTAGACACATAGACAGGGTTAAGATGACCCGCTGAAGTTCAGCTGAATTTTAGTGACTTTGAATGTGCCATTGTTGGTGGTGTTTCAGAATGTGCTTTGAGCTGACAAGAAGACAACAGAAACTCAAATAAGCAATCGTTACAACCAAGGTACGCGGAAGAGCATCTGTGAGTGCACAATGTGTCAAAACATGAAGCAGATGGGTGCTGCTGTCAGCAAGCCAGATGGGACTGAAAACCATAATATTTGAGAAGAAACAGAGGCTACAATTTGCACAAGCTCACCAAAATTGGACAACAGAAGACTGGAAAAATAGTGCAAATAGGTCTCATGGGTATATATATATATATATATATATATATTCTTTTTGTTTATGCGCTCATCGTATCTAGCACAGTTTGGTATCTAGCACCAAACTGAAAAAAGTAGTTTTACTTGGTCCTGTGACTCTGGAGAAAGAAGAGCAGGTCACTTATGTAATTGTAAGGTTGATGTTTTGATCTCTGGCTACTGTTGTCTGTATGTCAAAGTATCCTTGGGCAAGATATTGAACCCTGGGTTGCTCTCAGATGCATCCACTAGTGTCCGAATGTTAGATAGAAAGCACTAGAAAAAGGTACATGAATGAGTCATGTTCTAAAAAGCGCTATGAGTAAAAGAGTAGAAAAGGTGTCATATAAGCACTAATCCATTTACCATTTAGAGTTTTTATTACGGATGAACTAATTTATTTGATTCTTGGTGTCAAGAAAGACTAAGAAGTGAAGTAAATTGTGAGTCATGGGTCCTTTTTTTAATGTACGGGCGCCATCTAGTGAGGGATCATAGCATTACACCAGATCTGACGAATTCAAGACCTAATTGTTAAGACTTGTGCTCAGGACCATACACTCTGTGGATAGGTCACACGGGGAGGTCACGGTTTGTTTCAGACCACTCCAACTTATATGTAGTTGTTGGTGCACGTGTACATGCTTTTATGCTTTTTAGGGCAGGGTGTGGGAGGGAGTGGGGAGAAAGAAATGCCCTCAAAGCAGTTACAAAGTGACAGATGGGAGTCCGCGTGACGTTGCAAAAAGAAACCCACGGGTGACATGCACACAGCGCTTCGAGCAAAGGTTTCGAGTCTCGCTGCACGCGCGCATCTTCACAGCCTGCGTCCTCGCCATGACAACCGGCCCGCATCACACACGAATCCACCGATGTTTATTTTTAGCCGCGAGCCACTCTCGTTCAGCACACGTCCCATGTTCACGCCGTCAATTATTCATATGTTTTAGGCCTGCAGCGACCACAGAGCGGGACTGCCACAAGTCGGAGCTGCGGGATGCCGAGAACCAGCCAGGGTGCAGAAATGCACCTGAAAACTGCCAGACAGCAGACCAACGAGCAGCCAGCTGCGCAGATAAAGTGAGCTCAGTTGTGTGTGTGCGCGTGTGTGTGCGTGAGAGAGAGAGATATTTTCTTTCGTTGGAAACTCGGCAGTTTTATGCGAAAGCGGAAAGAGCTAGCTTGTTTCTGCGTGTGTTTTTTCAAATTTCACTGAATTTTAATGGAATGTGCTGGCATGCAGATACACGGACACGAAGCATTTGTGGTTAGTTGTGTGTCACCAAAAGAGGTGTGAGCAGACTTTATGCTATAGGATACACTCTTTTCAGTTAAAAATGCTATGAGGGATTTGGACTGGCGGTGCTAACTCCACCGCCGAAAACCTAAAAAAAACAACCCAAAAAACCCGTTATTTTGCTTTTTTGAAATTAAAGTTGAGTTAAACTACATTTAAATACAAATCTTTAATTATCTGAACCTTGATATCATTGCTGTGCCATACCGCAGATTTTTGTATCAATTCAATACAAAAATACATACCAGGGCAAGTATTACCTATACCATTACCGATATTTTTAAAAAGGCACATTATGTTGGATTATGTGATTTATGACATTAAAAGTCATAAATTTGCAAAATCTGAACACATTTTAATGACTACTAAATCACTGATTTTTACTTAAAAGATCATTATTATTCTTATCATTTCAGTGTTTCATCTATTTAGAAACCGCTTTTGTTTTTTGTTTGTTTTTAAAGACTTGAGGTGTAAATGGGTTTGTCTCTAAACCACTTTTGGTTCATTTCTGTTGTTTAAATGTGCTATAGGCTATAAGTAAAATAGATGTAACAGCCAATACAAAAAGGCTCACACATTTTTCTTAGTGTATGTTTAAGGTCTATTTTTGCTGCATACTGAACTTAGAGGATAGAAAAGTACTGATCTGTCACATTAGTATTGATCCAATACCAATATCAGCACTGGTATCAATACTATCGATATTAAGATTGATCTACCCACCTCTACTTGATGCAGGCTGTGAAAAAAACAACATTTTGCAGCCCCTCTCCCTTTAAGCCATTTTCTGATTGGCAGCCTCCGTAACCAGAAGGTCTGAACAGCAGGTGGGTGGAGGTGCTGTGCTCACAGCCTGAGTTATGTGCCTGTGATGGCTATATTAGGATTATTTTTGTCACTGACACTACAGAGCCAAGAATAAAGAAAAAAGGGCATGAAAGTGGGCGTTTAGAGCAGCAAGCATCCTAAACTGATGCCTCACAAGGACTATTTTGTCATGTGTGTTACCATTATTTGAAACTAATGCATGAAAGGCAAAAATAGATCCCCTTTAAAGTGATGATGCACTCCATAAACTTTCCAGGAAGCACTCTCTGAAACCCCAAACAAAGACCTCCATGACCACAGAGTACCAGGAGAGGTTCCTTCCTCCCGCCTGTTATGTAGCAATCGTGACAACAGCAACAAAGAAGATCCCTTACCATCCGCTGAAGGGGACAAGTCATGAGATTACCTCTTTGAGGTATTTTCTTTTCCCTTTATAATGTCATTAGATTTTAGTTAGCTGAGGAAAGAGATATTTCAATTTTGGACAGTGGGATAAATCTGGCTGGCGCTCTGCCCACGTGCATACAGCAACTGATGGATGGTTTCTCAGCTAAATAAGACTGAACTGGCCATGACAACATTTCAGTGCACAAAAAAACAAAGACTACTGTGTAATCTTTGCTCTGAAATCAGCTGATTAATGGTAATAGGAAAACAAGTTGTTGGTGTGGCATCTTTCTCGTTTTCTATCATTCATGAAGTAAAAATGTGTTGGTCTGCTCATCGTATGTCGTGTGTTTCAGATCATTTTACATTCAGCAAAAATGGCTAAAAAAGCCACCAAAGGTCCCACAGCCACCAGAGCCAGACTACAGACGATGCAAAGGCCCACTCAGTCCTGCAAACCAGACACCATCCAGGACTGACTACGCGAGCGCCTATCAAAGTAAGCAACTTCAAGAATATTACTGTGAGATATCAAGGAATATGGCAAAATTTGCATCCTGAGTTAAATCCGCTTTGTTTTTTCCCCTCAGATGATTTTAAACATTGGGAGGGCAGCAAGCGCCAGCCAATCATCCTGAAAGGCGATTTGACAGTCAAGCATGGATTAGGCAACAAGCTCGCACTGGCGAAGGAACCAGAACATATTGCAAACACCACCACCTATAAATCGGATTACATCCCCCACCCAACAAACCCCAGACCATTCAAACTGAAGCACTCTAACCAAAGCAGCAATGACTTCCCGCTGGAGCCGAGACTGGCCTTCAAGCCAAAGCAGGCTTGGTCTACACACCAAGACCTTGACAAAGGCAGTGATTGTTTTGAGAGGTTCAACAGTTGTTCCCTTGAAACCAAGTTTCAGGGCCACACCAAAGATTTCTCTTCACCAGGAGACCACAGCATTCACTGCCAGGTGAAAAACCTGCCAGCCCTCGAGATAAATGACGTCCACCGCCATGCAGCGAGTACCGTGACCGACGACTACAGAGACTGGCATTCGCCGCAAAGCTTCACCACTGTGAGAACCACCATGTCAGTGGGCAAACCTAAATCTCCTAACGACAGCAAAGCCAGCCCAAAGACTTTGAGACAACACCCCAAAATACACAAGGCCTCAGCCTGTAATTCCTCCAGAGGTGCCACACAGAAACCACAGAGTCCTACAGACACTGAAGTGCTTTCTAGCTTCGAATGCTCCACAGAGAACGGAGAATCCAAGATGTACTGGTACAGAAATTTGGGCCGAGGAGGGACTTCGCCTGATGGCGACAGCTGTATAGACCATAGCAACCAAATAATCAGCTGCATGGTTTCTGACAGAAACTAAGGTGGCTGATAAGGTGTGGTCTCGCCACATTATTACCTCAGGTAGTTTCTACTTCTACAGCAATAAAAAAAAGAAAAAAAAAAGCCATGAATGGGGAGATTGTGTAACATCAGCTATTTTTATACTTGTAAGCGTCTCAATTTCACTCTTATGTAATCTTGAAAGTGAGAGGCACTTAATGGGAAACAGGTTTAGACAGACAGATGTGGACTTCCTCCAGATAATAAAAGGTGTGTACACTTTTTTAAAATCAGTCACTGTTTCAGTAAGAAGTAATCCAATCTGCTGAAATGACCTCCATGTGTTTCATACAAACCTCAGGAGCACTTTCCAAAACTATATTGTGAATACACCACAAAATGCTGTAATCATGAAATGACATTTTATTAAAAAATAACACAAGGCAATGTCTTAACTGAGAGAACTTCCAACTCAGTTATATTTACATCTATACAGAATCTTTTTCTCTTTTTAAAGTCCATCAATTAAAAGTATGGTGCCAAAATGTCTGTATTCCACATGACATTACCTGCTCCAGTGCCAGAAAAAAACTAAACTAAAACAAACAACAACAAAGCTAAAGGCTATTCCTTTAATCTTCTTTATGAGGGTCTGTTCACTTTCTTCCAGGTACACACCAACATCAGCAGTCCTCTTTAAATGACATCATGTTAAGTTTACAGAGTAGAGCCTCGCTCGGCTGTTAAAAACTCATTTCAGTAGCTGTCAGTCGTCATCGAAGTGGATGTGCTTATTAGCCTCCTTGGCGCGGGCGATGATGATCTTTTCGGCTTTGGATATGAGCTGAAAATGTGACAGGAAATTAAAAATGAGATGAGATAGCAGATAGACAACAGGGAGGGGTATGTATGAATGGGTGCGCTAACGTGATAAAATTACTCCAGGTATTAGTGACTTTTTTTTTTGTCCTGTGAGTATAAAACATGAAGGTGCAGCCTTTAGCTGCAACACTGACAAAGAAAGTCAGCTTTGTGTGCGTGTTTAAAGTTGTTTATACACATAATGTAATAAATAATCACAGATGCACTGATGCACACTGCAGCATGTATGCAGATTTGAGTATTTCACATTGTAAGGTAGAGCTCACCTTTTCTGTACCCCGCTTCTTTTCCCTTGGACGATTCAGTTTGACCTGGCGGTCCACGAGGATCTTCTGCCAGTACCTTTGTTCATGGTCACCTTTAAAAATAAAGAAAGAAACAGAGAAAAACACAAAAAAACACCCCTCACAGTTTTATCAAATCTTTGGTTAAAAAACACAGAAGCCTGATGGCCCGACAGAGCACTTTCTCCATCATCAGTTATGAAATCCATACAAAATACAATTTTTAAAAAGGTTTCAGAGAAAATAAGGAAATAAAATTCACACCTGTGAGGATCTCCAGCTTCCAGCTATGCTCTTTCTGCAGCTCTGCTCTGACGTCGCTGACTGCTCTCGCTTCCTCTGGGCTGTGAAAGCGAATGTGTCCCTCAGCGTCTCCTTCCAAGATGTCAACATAGGCCACTGGAGAAATTTTACACAGCGCGTCCTACACACACAGTGTCATTCTTTAGCGGGGTTACGGGAATCATTGTGTAATGTGGATACACAACTGAACTGTGGGGCTGCACCACACCATGTGTTAAAACAAAGAAGGATTACTTTGAACTCTGAATCATGCAAAGCTACAAAAGAAAGTACCTTGATTATTTTCCTCCCTGGTAGCGGCTTGTTGTCTGTAATCTTCACGATGACCCCACTGACAAACTGAGGTCCTTGCTTAGCTGCCTTTTCACTTTTGTTATTCTCATCAACTAGACAAAAGGCAAAAACACAAATCAGTTGAATTTCATAGGTTTTAGTGCTGAATTCCAACATGCTGAAAGCTGTAAATGTATATAGTTCTAAGATGAATGAGATATACATTTCAATAAGCTTCATCCAGATTCTAGCAGCTTGTTAATATACACAAACTGGCCACTATATTAGGTACATGTTTCTAGTACTGGTTCGGACCCAATTCTGCCCTCAAAACATCTACTTAAAGGCTCCACGAATGGTGCATTCAGAGGTGCTCTTCTGCACACCTCAGCTATGATGAGTTACTGTCACCTTCCTACTAGAGATTGTGAGTGTGACTAATCTCTATTATGACTAGTCTTTTAATCTAATGTTTAACATTTATTTGATGTCCAGTCCCGGGAAGCCGTTGTGTCCAAAATGTTATGCACTCATCTGCCACCAGGTGGAGCTGCAGCCCCCAACAATGTTATGCAAAAATGCAGAATGATATTATCAAGCTAAAGAAATTAGCTTGAGAGATGCTCAGAGGTGAACCACTACTCCTCCACATCCAAAGGAGCCAGTTGAGGTGGGTGCCTCCTGGGTGAGGTATTCTGGGCCTGTCCTACCAGGAGGAGGCCCACAACACACTGGAGAGATTACATCTCTTGTCCCAGTGTTCCCCCAGATCACCTGAAGGAGGTGGCTGGGCATAGGGAGGTTTGGACTTCTCTGCTTAATAGAGATGTTGTCATCAAATCATTTTGTTATTGCTTTATATTTGAACTTTTATTGAAATGATTGTTATGAATTGCAGAACAATTTGTTATCTTTCAGCTGTTAATTTGGCATATTTTAATAATACTTGAATATATTTTGTAAGTAACACATTTTCATACATTTAAAATCAGGTTTTTTTTCTTTTTCATTATCCTGTTAGAATAGAACACAGTATCCATAACAGAATTCACTGTTGTGATTAAAGGCTTCAAATGCCTTTGTTTGGACACTTTTTTGCTATTATCCATTAGAAGGTCCTAAAATTTCACTTGATATCTGAGTGTTTCTTTGTTTTAAACTAGACTGTTAGTCTCATTTCTTTTTTCCTCGTTAAGTCGACTAAGAAATTAGTCACCAGGAACGTCCCTACTTCCAGCAAACTTGAAGACTGGCCTCTCTCTCCTGAGTATCCCCGCCGTTCACTGGATTTTTTTCCCTTTCCTTTTCCTTTCTTTACACCATCCTGTGTAAACCCTCGAAATAGCTGTGTGGGAAACTCCCAGCAGATGAACCGTTTCTTGAAAACTAAGACCCGCCCTATGACACCAACAACCACGCCACATTCAAACTCCCTTAAATCACCTTTCTTCCTCATTATCGTGATGCTCAGTTTGAACTTCCGCACGGTCATGTTTGCATGAATGCATGCACTGAGTTACTGCCATGTGATTGGCTGATTGGATAATTCTGTTAATGAGCAGCTGAACAGTGCAATCTGTCCTTGTCAGAGTAAAGCTGTGTGATTTCTGGTGCGATGTTGACGAATGTCGAGTGAAAATTTTCTTTAAATTATTTTAAAACACTTTCCCAAAAATCCAGGCCAAAATCTTTGTCAGTTCAGCATCGTTGTTTCCTGTTTTATCATACACTTCTGTTTTCAACACATGGAAATTTCAGCACTTGCCCACTTACTGCAAATGCCACCCCAGCTAATGCCAAGTTTAATGAGACACGCAACATTGGAAAGTTTATGGGATTCTCATTATTATTGTGGTGCTTTCTCAACTTACCTGTGGATACAGAAAAAGAGATATGTGGGAATTATAAAGGAGGATGGGGGAAACATTTTAAAGTTAGAGGCCTGTGAGTGAGGTTTGGAAGAGAACTCACCATTTGCATCCCGAGGGTCACCATCTGTCTCCATCATCTTGTGCTCCTTGTCATTTATTTTAGTCATGCACTTCTTCAGGGCTGACATACTGCTTTTCTGCAAGGTCAGGTACTCCTGCTTTAATCCAAGCCAGTCTTTCCTTGATGTGGAAAAACAAGGAACAAACACGGCCAACAGAGTGGGTTCAGCTTGCTAGTTATAAAACCTTTTACAATTGTATTAACTCGTTAGAACAAGGGATGCAGGTTCGTACTTTGAAAGCACCCGGAGTGGAATCACTTCTTCCCCAATTTTCAGTTTCTCTTTGTGCTTCTTTTTTCTCTTCCTTTTTGCTTTAACTGTTGAGTCGTCTCTGTTTTCTTTGCCCTTCTCAACAGCCTGCGCTGCGTCCCTCTGAGTGGGCGACTCTGTGAGGGGAAGAACAGCGTTAACACAACAACCAACTTTGTGGTTTGGGTGTAAAAAGACTTAAATTTGACCTTAAAAATGAGGAACAATGAGGAGGTAAAATGACAAACAGCTGTCCCATTTAGATCTTTTTGTAGTTTTCTTTTTTTTTACACTGGTGGATTAGAGACGACTTACTACTCCGTGCTCCGTCTTTCTCCCTCTCCCCACCTTCACTTTCGCTGGTTTTTCTTATCTTCGATGGTACATCGCTCTCCGATCCCTCCGCCGTATGTGACCGCCGTCTTTTCTTCTCTGACAGTTTGCTTGGTGTCTTGTGAGCGCCGGTGGCCTCTGGGTCAAAATCTTTCTTTTGCTCAGCCGCCTCCGCTTCCATCGCCTGCTCTTTGACTTCCTCTGCGGGCGCCTGTGCCGTGGCACCTTCTTTCCTTTTCTTCTTCTTTCGCTTCTTCTTCTCTTCTTCTTCACCTGCAGCACATGGATGTAAAGAAGCCAGGATAAATACACTTTGCAGCGCTATCCTTTACTTCAATATTGCAACGGCACCAAATAAAATCACCTATCCGAGATGCTGGATTGTCAGCTGAGAGAGAAATTGGCTTCCTGTGCAACGTCTTGGGGAAAATCCCTGGTTTCCTGGGAGCATCTTCAGGAGGATTGTTCAGCATCTGTTTGAAAGATCAAATTCTTCCATGATCTTTTGTACCAGCCAAAAACAAACACCACGTTAACGTCAACGACATCATAGCTGTGGAAATATTCCCACTGAGTTCTCACCTCTATAGCTTTCTGTGCTTGCTCCTCTTTCTCAAACTCGACAAAGGCAAAACCCTTGGAGTCCCCGGAGGACTTGTATCTGGGGATGCTGACATAAACCACATTTCCACATTTTGTGAACACTCTTTCTATCCAGCTGTGCGTCACATCCTTTGGCAAAAGTTCCTTAGAAAAAGAGAAGAAGAAAGAATCATTAGTTTGGGATCCAAGAAGATTTTAGAGCAGGCGAACAACAGGGAGAAGATGATGCTGTTCTAATACTTGGTCCTGACTGAAACAAAGAGTGGATGCACCAAGCACCTTATCCTCTCTGTTTAAAGACTTTCTTTTGCTTGGCTGCAACTTGTATATACAACCCCGATTCCAAAAATGTTGGGACAGTGTGTGAGAGGAAAAGGATGAAAACCATTATTTGAATGCCTGTGATCTTCAGCCCTCTACCAAAAGTACTGCAGCTGGTCTCCTCAGTATCCAGATGTTCACAGACCGTTAAAAGAAGAGGGGATGCTACCCTCTGGGAAACATGACCCTGTCCTGACTTTTATGAGACCTTTTGCTGTCAATCTGGTTTTATTTACATTTTAAACAACGTCCCAACTCTTTTGGAATCAGGGTTATAGAAAATGTGAATGACAGGCAGGTGGGACGTAGTCACAGCCGTGTGCCTAAGGCGACCACATTATCACATTATAGACGTTACATCACATTATTATCATAGAGAAATGTTGCGTTCAGGTGTAATGTATAGAATCGTTTCTGCTCTCTTTAATTGGTGATAATTAAAACAATGGAAAGTATTAAAATTCACGTGAAAAGCAAACATATCAAACAGACACCAGAGGACTTTTTTTTACCACGTAAACCGTGCGGCTGTCCACATCATTCGGTAGTTTCCCAATTGGAAGCTGACGCCTTACTTTAGTTCCCTCGAGGTTGAGCTGAAACACACACACACACACACACACACACACACACACACACACACACCTTTAAATGATTCTATATTATGCAAATACTGTAAAATAGCAAGTTATAAAGCATTAACAAAATGAAAATTTACTTTACAGTACCTCAACTACAGATGAATTCTTTAGCGCCCTGGCAATGAGCTTTGTGTCAGTTGTCAGCTGCTTCATTCGATTGAAGCTTGCCAACACAGATATATCAACATCTATAAGAAATAATGTATGGTAACAAGTTTAAGGCTGTTCCCAAGTCAAAAAGATTCAATGAAACGTATAAAGTATTGATAGCTTCTTACATCCACGGTCAGATTCCTCCATGAGCTTTTTCAGAAAGCGGTCCTTGCTCAGGTTGACGTCGCCAAACCAGAATTCCACTTGTTTCTTCACCTCACTGAGCAGCTGTTTGACTCGGGACCTCTTCTTCTTTTCCATCTCCTTCTTGTCGCTGGGCTCTGCTGCCGCAGCATTGGTGGCTCCCCTCTCTGAGTTAATCATCTCGCGGGCAGGACTGCAACAAAGACGCTTGTTTGTTATGAGATTAGAGCCTGTACTAAAAGGCAAGTTCAACATATATCAAACAACAACCATGCTAAGAGATACCAAGATGAAGGCTAGGAGTTGGAAAAGTCCATTCAGGTTTTTCTGATCTACCTTGTGCCTGTTCAGGGCCAATGCTGCTGTGAAAGGTTTAATCCAAAATTTAGACAGGTCTGGAGTCTCACAAGAAGAACAGCAGCAAGTTACAAAACGCCACAACATTAAATTTAACTATAGAGATACATAATCAACCATATGATCTTAATAGGTGTGATGTGCGAGTACCAACTAGTTTAAACGAGAGTTTCAATAATCAAAACCACCCTTTTGCCCCCAAACTGACATAAATTATGCTGCTAACTCCAAATCCTGCTTCGTAGTAATATTTATATTAAATTCGTTGGGTTTGTTTGCACGTTTTGCCCACTCTGACCCATTTTCAGATTGCACACTCCATATCGAACACGCCCCTTTTATAATGCCATCATTTTATTGATAAAATTATTGGTAAAAAAAACGTACATATAAACTGTTAGTTTTGCATTTAGCTCTTTACTAAGTGCACAGGGAATGCCTTGCAGCCAGACTGGTGGTTAGCTAACACTGCCGTCCAAGTTAGTAATTGGAAATTCGCGGGTGGTGACTTTAAAAAAAACCCTTCCGTCATGCCAAAATTTTTTAAAGTCCGCCAGATTTTTTCTCAACGTTCAGGAGACCGAAAGATTCACATAACTCACCGTGCTCCAGATGCGAAAACAGTCCAGACTAACACCGAGTTCACAAAAATAACAAACCAGCAGCTAGCGTGATATCTTCACGCAAACGGCGCTGCTTCGCAAAGTAACGTCGCACGGTAAATTCGTCATAAGAGCGAGCCGCAACTTACACAACTTCCGGTGAATAATTCCACCGTAAAAAAACAACAAACACGAAGGTTGTAACATCCACATTTTATTCTGCAAACTAGTGAATCTAAATGTAAGATAATAAAAAACACAGCACAGTCTACCTAATCATTCATTGTATTTGATAGTAAAATAATAGCATAATAACGATAATAATAATAATCACTTTATACACATGTTAAAATGTCAATAAATAATTTGTAAAAAGGCTTTTAGAAATAGAATAATATTGATAATGGATGCAATGCTTGTTATGCTATCTGTTCTTCAACATTAACATGTTTATTCTTTTATTTTCACTACCACAAAATTTTCAAATTTCGAAACTTTTTTAGTTTTATTTTGTATGCTGCCCTGTTTATTTCTGTCAAAGTCCGTAAGGTGAAACTAAGTCGTCTACCACCAAAAACAAGTTTTAAATACATAGTGACTATCATTTTTATACGTACTTTTTCATCGCTTTGTACAACTTGGCCGGTTAGCTCAGTTGGTTAGAGCGTGGTGCTAATAACGCCAAGGTCGCGGGTTCGATCCCCGTACGGGCCAGTCACTAATTTTCTTTTTTCCCCACCTATCCACGTGGACCACAAAAACCACTTTTCAACTGTCTGTGAAGGTCCTCAGTCATCCAGGTCATTGTTGTCTAAGGAGCTTGGAAAGAAAAGCATTTGGACCCCAAGACGGAGAATCGACCCCCTAATCATCCTCCTTGGCTGATTGCGACCTACACCCGTTTTCACTCCTTGGCTCGTGTGATTAGGTAAGAGATCATTGGGGGTTCAATGATCCTCTTTGGAGGCACACTCCCGTAGGGCTTAAATGTGAGACTCTCCACCATTTGACCTTAGAACTGAAGAAGCTTCTCGGATGAGAGGTGAAACTTCTTCAAGCAACTTAAAGAAGTCCAGACGCTTTTCTGTCCAAGCACCTTAGCCTGCTCTTGCAACTGTTTTAATGGCATAGGGAATATTTTCTTGACATACACACTGAGGCTCATTGGTAATTATGACTCCAGTGCACTCGCATAGCTGGCTCATGTCAAAAATCTCAGATCTTGTCAAACTGGTTTCTTGAACATGACAATGAGTCTACTGTACTCAAATGACACCCACAGTCACCAGATCTCAATCCAACAGAGCGCTTTTGGCAGAATGGGTACATCATGGATGTACAGCCAACAAATCTGCAGCAACCGTGTGATGCTATCATGTCAACACGGACCAAAAATCTCTGGGGAATGTAATGAAGTGTAAACTACCATTTATTATGACCCTATACTTCTGGATGTCATAATTCTCTCAGGGGAGAGAGAGGTATATTGCTTTTTAAAAATTATTTTTATGATTATTACAGTTATTATATTATTATTATTATTGTCTTCAAAAAAACAATCACAATGCAAACCAACAATTTATTAACAGCTTGTAACATAAGGGCAGTGTTTTTCATCATAGCTCCAAAAAGCTGTCAAACTTTTTGAGCTTCTTGCACATGTCCTCCTCGGTACAGCTCTCAATTCTGCTCTTGATGAGCTGTGAAAGTTGACTATAGAAGGTCTTCGTCCACTGGGCTTCGAAGTGGTGGGTCGATATGTTGCACACTTTGTGAAGTACCATCAGCAACTTCTCATTGCTGCTGACCTCACACCTTTTAAAAACCCATTTCTGCCACTCTGCCCACGAAGCATCGTCTGTGAAATTCACAGTGATGCTGGCATTGGTCTGCATGCACTCTGGCTCTCTGTCCGTCAGGTCGTTCCATATCGCTCTATAGGAAGAGGGAAAGGGGATAAGCTCTAGGAAAATACAAATTAGTGAGGTATTGTTTTGAATTATTTGATTCAAAATTCAATACTCACACAACGTTTTTCAGAGGATCTGGGATCAAGTCGCTTAATGACAGCAGACCTCTGTAACTCACTCGGTTGCCTTCCATCCTGTTCCATCACAGGGGGAACAATAAAGGTTTTTCATATTTACATAAAAAAGCCTTTAAATATAAGCGTAGTTTATTACAACATAGGTGTAATCTATGACCTTTTAAAAACTCTTAAATCAAACCGTCACAGTCATCCTCGACACTGGAAAACTCCCATTTCCTCAAACATCAGCATCATGTGCCAGGATAATAAAACAACTCAAAAAGTTTCTTACCACAACTCCTGAAGCTTTTTTTTAACCCCTATTGCACAAGCAAGGACCAGAAGCTCGTCGTCACTAATGTTTGTCCACCCAAGTCTAAGAGGAACAGAAAGGGTGACATCATCTGGATGATTCTTTGTCATACATTGTTTCAAAAATGTGGTAAAACTAACTAACACTTTACCCGAGGTACACAATATTCTCTGATTCCTTCAACACATCAGCAATGACCTGTACTGCTTCCATATCCAGGTTGTTTTCTCCAAGCCTTAAACAGATGGAGATGGAGAAGTAAATACATATTGTGCAAGCACTTTCCATATGTGGCGCTCCATAAGCAATTGATAAGGTTGCAACCACATGGAAGGGTCTATCAAAGCTTGGAAACAGAATTTTACCTGAAACTCACCAAAGACTCTCACATCTACCCAAAAGATGTTGAATATCTCTTAGTGTATCACAGCTTATTCCAGTCCCAGTAAGATCCAGCTCTGATATTTTACCCTCGGTGAGGTTTAGGAAATACTTGATAGCATTGTAGTCCATTTGAGATAGCGTTTCATCGCTAACATTAACTCTTAGCATCTTTGGTTGCACATCAAGTGCTAACGAGGGGTCCTGTTGCTCAAACAAGCAGTGCAAATGGTTTAGGATGTGGGCTCCACTTTCACAGAGAGCTCTCAGTTCTCTGATGATTTTCTCACGATATGCGTTCGCTTTTTCTTTGTGGCAGCAAATCCCCACCTGCCTAGATAGAAAACTGGCATTGCGCTCAGAGAGGATTCCAGAGAGGAAGCGGCTGAAAAGGTCCAAGTGTCCACTGTTGGATACATCTCTGGGACATGATGCGCGCTCAAGTGCGTCAGGCAAAGGGTGATCCGTCACCGCACAGTAAACTGCAGCAAAGAACTCTTGAATAGTAAGATGAGCAAATGAATAGACCTCTTCAGTGAACCCAGGTTCTTCTGCAATTGTCTTGTCGAGGAAAGCACTAACGAGGCTGGACCCTTCTAACGCTGCCACCTCTCGGTCGCTGCTATAAAATAATGTTTGATGCTCCAGTAGGTTTTTGAAGGCAAGTCGACCCAGCTTTAAAACAGTATCAGACAGCTGCTGGATGGCCCCCGCTCTTTGGTCTTGAAGACATGTTTCAGCTCTCGCTTGGGTGTGAGATCGAAGCAAAGCCACCAAGTACTGCACGTAAATATCCGTCATGGTCTTTGGGCTTCCCCCACAAAGATCTTTGCTCTCTTTGAGGATGCAGCAGACAATGTAGCAAAATGCAGGTATGTAGCACAGTGTCAGCATTAGTTCGTTTGCAGATACCACTGAGAACATGCGGTCAGCAAGGGTCCTGTCCTGGAAGTAACGAAAAAAGAAGTCTTGAACTTCGGCCAAGGAGAACCCTGCAATGAGCACAAAGCGGTCAATGCAGCCCACAGGGATGTAGCTGATAGCTGCAGGCCGACTTGTGAGCAACACAGAAGCATTTGGTAGTAGTTCACCCTGCATCAAGCTTCCAATAACCTCCATAACCGCTGCATCTTCATCTGGCTCAGTTACAAAAGAGTCCACGTCGCAGCTCCTGTAGTGTCTGAACTCATCAAAGCCATCCAGGATGATCAGCAGTTTGTTGTCATTTGCCAAGATGTTATCCAGTTCTTTAGCAAGGTGCCTGTTTTTGCGCAAGATCAACTCTCGTAAACTTGTGGGCTCGTCAATCAGATTCAAGTCTCTGAAGGTCATGTGTATGATGAAGTCAAAGGCAAGGTGGTCCTTGTTTCCCCCAAAATCAAACAACATCTTTTGCACCAGGATAGTTTTTCCGATTCCAGCCACCCCCGATACCAGAACCTTCCTGACTGGACGAACTGCCTTTGCACATGAGAACAGTTCAGCTGGTGTGATTTTCTCATGCACTGCTGACTTCTGTTGCAGACACAGTCGCTTCTGTCCAAAGGTCAGCACCTCATGCCTTTTATTTTCTAATCCCTGGTGTCCGTCAACTAAGAGAAGATTGACATAATGTTCGGAAAACTGAATTTTCTCTCCGTGCCGGGTGTTGTAGAAAAGCATGCTCTCACTCCTGCGCCTCAGGACTTCTTTGTGTTTTTGTTTCGCTTTGCTGTACTCTGTAGAAGAAAAGAAGCTCAGCATAATTTTCCACTTCCACTCATATGTACTTGTATAGCTGGAAAAAATATATATAGGTATATAGGATGAGGACAGGATACATTTCAGTACAGTGCTTGACTAGACTGTACTTACAGTATAAATTACCATTCTGTTTCCCCCTTTCAGACACACCCCTGCCAACTAAAGTTAAGAGAAAACCTTATCTTGAACTGATCAACGGTAGTGTAGCTTGTGTAGTTAGTGTGCAGTGTTGTGGATAGTTTTGTGTTGTGTGTCAGAACAATGAGGCGACTGCTGTCTCCAGGTTAGAAACAGGAGTGATACACCTGCTGCTGTCAGACCTGCAGGTATCAGGCTGTGATGTTCTCCTTTATAGTGGACAGAAATTATTTCTTTGGAGTGGCACAAATAATTTGTGAGGCATCTTCTTGAATGCAGAACAGCTGATTGTTCTGTAAATAGTTTGAAAGGGTTATTTAAAAACTCAAGGTAAAAGGTAAATGGATGCAAATGAATTTGTTGTTTGCAAAACTTGTGCATAGGATTTATATTTGTATTTAAAGTTATGAAATATGATTCATTAAACATGTTTGTTTTTGTTACAGTAAAAAAATATAACTTTTTCTACTTTGATTTTGTTTTTTGATGATTTTAGATCAATTGTGTTAATACAGTATGTCAAAATGAAAACATAACTGTAAATTCAGACACGTGAGGTTGTGCTGAAAAGAATGATAACAAACAAGGCAAATAAACAGTTTTTAAAGGTGAAATGTGGAGGGAAAATCACAAGTAGTTAAAAATGGCCAATTATACCCTGGACCCCAGAGGGTTAAACTTTTTTTTTTTTAAAGTAACGCAATAGTTACTTTTCAAGTAATTAATTACTTTTAGAATCTTGTAACTCAGTTACTAACTCAGTTATTTTTTTGAAGAAGTAACTAGTAACTATAATTAATTACTTTTTCAAAGTAACTTACCCAACACTGCTGATCAATGACAGTCCTGTGGCTAAAATTGAAAATGCATACCTCTGGACTGAGGTGGATCCACTTCTTTGGAGTACTGATAATGACTTTTAACATTAAGAAAAATCCTGGCCGCTTCCTCGCCTTTGCACTCCAGGATATCCAGCACCTTTCTCACTCTCATTCGGGGACCCAGCTGACATAACACTTCCTCGCGATCATCTCGAGTGAACACTTCCCGGCACACTAGGAATTCTACCAGAGAGTTGACCTGTCCTTCTAGTTCATCCACAAGAGAAACTCGCAGCACCCTCACTGCTGTCAAACAGGAATGATGAAAACCCTTTTCCACCATAATTTAATGTAAAACAGTCCTGAGAATGAATCAAAAAATGACGTGGTTATATAGTCAGATCATGGCAAGAATTTCCTCCTTTTGACGCCAACAGGGATCTTGTGAACTGCTGTTCCTCTCCCCAAGTTGAGAAATAGAGAGAGACAAGTTTATATCAGATATAAAAAGGGAAGTGTCACGGTTGTTAAAGAGTGGACTCAGGCGCGGAGCTCAGAAATAATGACAGTGCGTTTATTTACAGTGCAGCAAGGTGACAACAGTTCAAATGTGCAACAATGGTGATAGTGCGTCCTTCCTTCCGTGTAAGCCCGTGCGTGGTAGTGAGTGCCCGTCTCTCCTCCAAGTGCTTCCTTTGTGTCCGTAAATCCTCCGTCAATCCCTGGGTGAACACACACACGACAGCAAAACGAGTACGAAGATCAGACAGTACTTCAATAACATTAGCGACTCGAAAACACTACCAGGCTTAGTACAATACTTCAGCGCTGTCTGTCGCTCAGCCACACCATTAAGTAGCCCTGCTGAAGATGTTTTTTTGTTTGTTTGTTTTCTGCTGAAGATGGTAGTTGATTGGCAGCAGCTGGTGGATTGACTGCAGGTGCGGCAGCTCCGGGCGACAGCACTTCTGGGTCGGAGGTAGCCTGTTGCTAGGTTACCTCCTAACACATCACAGCGGTGCCGGAGGGGAACACAGGGCGATACGAGAGACACATACACACGCACAGAAATATACACACTGGCAGGTCGACCGGTTAGGGTGCCGTCAGATCCTGACAGGAAGTGTCCCTTGTCATGATGACAGTACTACTATATGTTGAAATTCCTGCTCTTTAATACAGACATCAATGTCGATTTGTTAATGTTGATCTCTGACTCCATAATATGGACTTTCCCATGAAAAAAAAAAAATATATATAGAAGAAAGAAGAGCAATCACAACAACCAGATTATAAAAAGGAATGTATTTGGTTTTATTTAACGATAGGGAGCAACACATCAAGTCACCAGCAGGGGGTCCCCATCGCATGCACATCAACTACCATCAGCCGCAAGGAGAGACCCACCCCTGTAATATTTACAGAAACTTTGCTCAGGGACACACATGGAAATAAATAGTTTAAATGACAAATATCTACATAACTTAAGAAAATGACATGTGATACAATATTTTCCTCTTGTGATATCACATAACCACACCTCAGCGTAGGGCCAAGTAGTCTTCAGCTAAAGCTGGGTTGCACCTGATGACAGTGAAGCTCTGTGGAACCCAGGACGCAGAGACCAAGTCCATTACTAATGTGTCCACACGACACATTAGTAATGATCACTGCAAAGCTTCCCATCATACATTCACAGACATGTAAATATGACACTGTGACACATGGCGGACTGGATGAACTTTATCAGATCTGCGTGTGAGCGTGTGTAACTTCACAGAGTGGTTAAAGGGACACGTTTGGCAAATATCTTCTCAAGAAATATCACAAAACAAAAATACTGAAACAATGCAACTTTACAAACTACGTAAAAACAAAAAGAAAGAAATTAACTCTGCAAGCCATGTTTTTAACAAAGACTTGGATGAGTTCTGAGTGCAAAATCTTTTTTTCCCAAAACATTATTTGCTTCAGTCGTACACCTCCTATAGTGCAACCCATGCAAAAAAAAAAAAAAAAATATTGAGTCTTACCCTCTAAAAACTGCAATCGGACTCCCTTGCTGCTTTGAAAGACCAATTATTATGGTCAACATGTGCTAAATCTATTCATGCCCAAAATGTTGGCTTTAATTTGATTAAATGTAAACTTTCCGTGTAATTTTGTAACATAAGTACATGTAAAATGATAAACTTAATGTAATCTGGTCAAATTCAAGTTACTTGATATATGGTATACATTCAGTTTACACCAACCACATTTCCCTTACTGATTAATTATTTGAATAAATAAACCTTTGATTTTATGCATTTTTGTTGCATTTTGCTTAAAATTAATATTTTATGTTTATGAAAACTTTTTTCCAAGTGTGGCTGGTACTAAATGTGTCCCAGTTATTTAATACTAGGCTTTATTTTGTCATCGTTCTCACTTAAGCAGCATCAAGCTGGTTTTCAGTTTTCCACCCCTTTTTAACCCATTGCTACGTTCATAAAAGCTCACTTAGCATCAAAATCCTAGCAGTAAAGACAAACACAGAGCTATCCAGTGGTTATCACAAGCTTGGCGTTTACCCAGAATTCCTTGGTATGAAGTCAGTCATCTATTTAGGCCGATTATTAACATCGCATTACTTCGTAAATTTGAATGCAATCATATAAACTTAATTTGGCGTGGAGTGATTGTGTTTCAGAGGAACATGATAGTGATCTTCCGTTTGCTCAGGAACCTGAAACTGAAGATTACGTTGCTCAGATTTTGTTAATGTGGACATGACCGTCATCACGGCTTTTAAGGCTTTAGTTCCCCTTTATGAAACCGCAGAGTTCCTACTGCTCACACTGGAAATATATCTACTGTTTGGGACACAAAAGCTGTTTGTACGAACTTCAGATTTAAATTAAAAATAAAGAAGTAAAACCAAAGCCTTCATTAACAGACGTGGTTTCCTCTCGTAGCAATAATTTTGAATTCAAACCCACGTATGGTATCTTAAAAGTCGATTTTAGTCACTTTTGGGTATGACAAACAAACATTCCTCCGCACTCGGGAATCCAGGAGCGATCGTTGAAGACATTGGAGGGTGTTGGGATAGGCATTGAGGTTCCTTGACTTCCGTGACACCTTCCCTGACCTTTCCAGATTTTTCACCAACGTTCTCACTTCTCCATTTCAGGTGTTTCGGCAGGAGAAACAGCAGCGGCTCTTAAACTGGGGCAGCAGGCAAAGCTCCAGCTGCCGCACCTTCTCACAGTACCTCGTGCTGTCCCGGCACTCTCCTGCTGGAATATACAGAGGATACGTTTTACTATGCACAGTCGCAGCTGTGGGCTGTAGTGCTTAGCTATGGATATATTGTTGGAAATTTCAGGTCCAGTGCTCTAATTCGTAAACATTTGGCAATCTTTCTCTCACTGTGGTCTGTGGCTTTTTCTAATTAACCGGCACATTGTTTCTGGAAATACCTGACACAGCAGAGGCTTTTGTTGGTTTTTTTAAGGCAATTTTTCAGCACTTTAAGCACCGCGGGCAAAGTTTCCTTCACCAGTTTTGTAATGGGGTGCCAACAGACAAATTAGAGACAGATACTGCCAAGTCTCATCATATGAAACCACAGCTATGTTTATTACGCGCTGGGCTCAAGTGCAAACACAACTAGATTGTCTTTTCATCTTTTGTTTTGTTTTTTAGTTGAAATGAAGGTAGAGTGTGAGCAACTGCATTTAACTAAAACCACTGCAACAATTTTGTGTTGCTAGAAAACAAAGTTTGACCCATCAGGCGTCATTGGTGTGAATCTTTATAAGGCAAAGATGTCAATGTGATCAAAAACATGCAATAAGAGGATTCAGTGACTGCCTATGAAGGCACTGTATGGTGTTCTGTTTTTGCAAGCAGGCTCACGGAGCATTTCAGTTGCACTTCTCATTGTAAAATCTATTCTGAACTTCCTAAATTTCTGCCTTCTAGAATTTCTTCCCCTCAAAAGAAGAAAATCATAAAGCTGCAATTTAAAAAAAAATAACCCAAACATTTTTAAGCAATAGAAACTAAAATAAAATTCGCAAAAACCCACAATATGTTGTACATTTATTTACGACTCACACTTGACATTACTGTAACTTTTTCTCACCTCTGCCGCAGGATAAAATGTTACATCGCTGCCAGCTGGCAGGCCGAGGCCTCCACGTGCAGTGACGGTCTCGGAAGGCCTTGCTGGTCCGAAGGTGGACGCAGGTCACCTGGCGTGATTGGAAACCGTGCCGTCCGCACGTGGCGGTGCACTGCGTCCAAGGCCCCACGAGCCACTGAAGTGCACAAGCCTCAGCGGTGCAATTCCTCAAAGAGCTTGGCCTAAAATATGAACATACCTGAAATAGTATTCTGCTGAATAGCCTTTTTTTTCCTTTGTAATATGAACCATAACTGGATTTTTTAAATGTATATCGATAGCACACATCACCAACAGTATTAAACATTCTTAATCTTATTCCCATCTTTACCTGTGGAGCCCAGTGCACATCCTGTGGGGGACTCTGGTACCATTGGGTTCTTGGCAGTAGATATGGCGGTGCTGTGTGGCCAAACTGGGACCCACACACCTGCCATGACACTGGAAGAGGAGAATTCATCAGATTTCCCAGCTATCATTACAAAAATATTTTCTTGCTAGGGGAAGGTTTTGAGTCTAAACTGTGTTTTTATGATAAAACCTTGTGAAAACAAGCCTGTGCACAATAATATCTTGGCTCACCGAACCCCAGGAGGTTGTGGCCCATCTTGCACAGGGAAGGAGGTTGCACGGCCTTGCATCAGAGGGTTTCCTTCCTGCTCCAAGGCAATTTGGACTCTCTACCTCTTCTGACCTGCCCTCGGGACCCTTCATGCAGCGCACAATTCTAGTCTGGGCTCCACCACCGCAAGTGGCTGAGCATGGGGACCAAGCATCCACTCGCCACCTAATAAAACAAGAGGAAAAGTCAAGTAGATATTAGATGTTTCAGGCCAAAAAATCTTTTCAGATACTCAACAAATGCAGTGAGTAAACGGAGGATTTCTGTTCTTACTGTAAATATTAAACTCAGTGTTTAACATCACTAATAGCACACACATGTAGAGCAGCAGCATACCTGAAGAGGCAGACTTGTCCTTGGCACAGCTCGGCCGACCGACTGCCATTCCTCCTCTCAGAACAAGCCGGTCCATTTGCTCCCACACTGTTGCCTTGGACACAGATTCTTCCTTTGCCACCTGAAAATAACATCAAATATAAAATAAAATGAGAATGGTGGGTTCACCAACCTCATCAGTTGATGCACCAGGATTTAAAGAAAAATATTACCACACAGCTTCATGACAAAACAGTCTTCCTAAAATATTTGAAAGTCATTCCATGTATTTTGGATTTCATTTCCTTTTCTTCAAATACTCCGACCTTAAAATGCCCAAGAGTATAGTCATTACATTGCTTTTAACCGACTCTGAATTCAAATATAACAAAATACAGTCAGGGCATTTTTCAGCCCTTTAAAGACTCCTTATCCTTTCTATTTAGATTAGCTGAATATGGTATGTTAAGTTAATCTTCTTTGAAACATTGCCTGGAACCTCTAATTGTTGCCGTATGGAGAGGAAGCGTACTATAGGATCAGGAAACGCACAGTGGCGGCACTTTGATGAGAATGTGGCTGATCATGCCGAAGAGATGAAGGACAGCGTAGCTCAGAGGTGACCGGAGCTCTGTGTGATGCCCCGGACATTCCTCTGTCAATGACTCAGCCACATGAGCCACTGGGATAAGTAAGAGCTTACTGAATATCTGTGTCTGCGGTTACTCTTGAGTTTGTGTGTTTCTATGCTGGATGAACGCATGCTTTCCCAGAACCTCGAAGCCTAAACCACAAAGAACAACACAAATTACTATAAACTGGACTATACAAAGCGGCATTAGGACAAACTCAACTCGACATTGGGTCTATACAAACTTGATCAATTTTAAGTATTTCTAACATACTTTTCTCAAAAGTCATAGTGATGTTTTTAGTATCTATATACTGCAAAATATCTTTGAAACCTCATTGCAGTTAGCAGCTAAAAGTCTGGCTCCACCTACATTACACAAAGATTTACATGTGGCATTTTTTATCTAGCTTTTAGCAAGAAAACACAAAGGGTAATTCTGCAAAATGTTTAACCTCAACCAACTTTCTTTACTAACAACTTCCTATTTCTAATTCTTGGAGTGTAACAGAGTAACAGCATGATTCACATGTCAAAACAGGCTTTGCTTATCTTGTCCATTGCTGCAGCCCCTCAGTTTGTTCTCTGTTTGTTTTCCTGCTCAGACCTTTTAGCACCAATCTGGCAACCATGGGTCGCTGTGAAATCAACTACTGAAGGCTGATTCACACAGAACCCAGAGAGTGGTCCACAGAGTGTTTGCTGGAGGTTGCTGGCAGTCACGCAGGGGCGTAATTTCCAGGGGAGGTAGGGGGG